GTAGGCTCATGCGTTATTTCCTTTTTAATTTTTTTATTTTCTTTTTATACATTTCTGTATAACCTTTTTTTTGTTTATCGCAATGATGTATTTTTTAAATGTGGAAAAAAAAACCTTTAAAAGACAAAATTTAATTGTATTGGTGAATATTGATTTAAAGCAGACTGTCTTTAGTGTGACAGATCTCACTTGTACTGCAAGCTAATTAGTTTTAAAGGACACTTCCCAAATGTGGAATGATAGTTCAGATGGCATAATTTGCTCTTTGGCCAGTGTTGAATGCCAAATAGTCAGACACAGAGTGTGTGCCTAGCGCATTAGCAAAAAAAGAAAGACACACACACAAAAAAATGTATTTTTGGAGAAAAGTATTAAACTTTTGAAATTTCAGAAAAGTGTAAAAGCATTTGCCTAGGGAAAATATTAGAAAGTTGATGAACTGATGTACAACTTTTTTATTTTTATAGATTTATTTATTTATTTGAGAGAGAGTGAGTATGGGCCGTGCAAGCGGGGGGAGGGGCAAAAGGAGAGGGAGAGAAGCAGACTCCCCAGTAAGCATAGAACCTGAGGAGGGGCTCGATTTCAGAACCCTGAGATCATGACCTGAGTGGAAACCAAGAGGTTTCCGGCACCCCTGATGTATACTATTTAATGATTTAATATCATTTTTAATTTTAAGAACATGTAGGTGAAAAGATGCTTAGGACATATAGGTGGGAGGTATGGCTGAGTTTTTTTCAAGATCCAGGATCTATAGGAATCTTAATTTGGTCCTAAGCACAGAAAAAAATTATGTTACCTCCTAACCTGGATGTCACTAAAAATAAAGACAATACTTAGCCGTAAAATAAGGGCACCTCAATCCAATGAAGTTCTGATTTTTCCCAGACAAATGCTTCTATGCTTTTCTAAAATATCAAGAATCCCAGTTTTTCTCCAAAATTTTTGTGTGCACCATTTTTGAGTGGGGGGCGGAGGTTGATACCCTAAGCATACATTTAGTCTATTAGCAATTCAATATGATCAAAGAGCAAATCATGACACCTGACATATTCAAATAAAAATTCAAATAAAATGAGTCACATTTAATGCAGATTTACCATATTTGATATTTTTAAATTCTAATTAGCAAGATAATATGTTAAATGTTCTAACATGGCAGATTTGGGCTCATGGGATTTGGAATCCAGGTCCAATTAGACCATTTACCAAACCCAAACCTGGACAAGTCTAACTTCTCTGAGCCTGTTTCCACTTATTTAAAATAGTTATGATGACACAGTTTTACTGGCATGATAGAATTTGGGGGAATATTAGATGAGAAATAAAGAATGTAAAATGACTTTGAGAACTACAAAAGATTATATTAATAATATAAGTTAAAATGGTGGTACTGTATTGTTTTCACATCTGTATTATATACCCCAAGGAATCCTATGTCGCTAGGATATGCAAATTGTTCTAGTCATATAAGAGCTCTACAAATAGTTTGATTATATGATTGATTGCTCTTGTGTAAAAACACATTTTTAATTGATAGAGTAATACTTGGGATATAAAACAGGAGGAATTGTAACTGACCTCTCATAGTAACACTCAAGTATAAATCTGGTTTATTTATTTCAGAAAAAACAGAATGTTGAGTTATGTTGAAACTTCCATGATAAATTCGGTTTTCTTTTAGGTTACACTCATGGAAAACAAAGAATTAATCCTTTCATGAACCTATGAGAAATGTAAAAAATGGTTTTGTCTCTCCTAAGTCATCTTGATGGAGAGTAGAGCGTGTACATAAAATTGAAATATGTTCTGAGGTCACTTGAAGAAATAAGAAACATCCTATCACAAAGTGAGGAATTAGATAATGTATGTTTTACTCCAATTAAAACAAGTTTTACTAAAGTTTAAATGCCAGTCAAAATATTTAATATTCCAATAAGAATGGCATTTCCAAGACAGTGTTTGAGAAATTGGGAATTAATTAAATTAGAATATTGCTAAACAATACATTTAAACAATAACTCACAGGTATCCTTCATATACTTTGTTCTTTCCAACATCACCTTATGGCTCTTGAATTATTTTGTATCTAGACCCCACTCAACCCCATTTTAGTTTTCAAAATTAGCAATACAAAAGGGAATAATTTTAATATGGCTGTTAAACATCACATTCCAAAATTTGCTGAAAAAGGACTCTTATGAAGAGGCCAGTGTTCAGTTCCCTGCATTGTGACAAGATAACATATATTTTCCAAGCAGATGGTCAATCAACTTCTTTAAAAATATCCAAATTCTGTAACTTAGAAGCCCATTGCAAAATAGAGCCTTACTGTTATAGATCCAGAAGTACCAGATATTAAACAACCAAAGCACACCCTAAAATGGGCAATTTACACTAGAAAAAGCCAGAGAAGTTTTTGAGAAAGAATCTAGCCCACTCCATCCCAAATAAATGCATGTCTAGGTCATACTCTCAGAGGTTTTGGTGAAAGAAGAATGCACTGCTTTATCTGGTTGCTCAGTTGACAACTCAACTTTGCTATCAGGAAGTTCCACATCCTGTATTTCTAATCCTCATTTTTCCTAATGAAGTTGAAGCTCATTGACTATATTTTAGGTTCCAAACAACCCCCAGCTCTTCTGAAACAAATGATTGTCATCTCTTAATTTTCTCTTCTCCTAATGAAATAATCCTTGTCTCCTTATCCTTTGTTAGAGAATACAACTTGTAGTCCTTTAAACACACTTCACTTTTGTGTGGCCCCTTAGTAAAGGCCATAAAATTGTCTTAAACACTAGGTCTAAGATTCCCATCAGGGTCTGACCACATAGGTAAAACATGCTACCACTGATAGTTCTGTGCTGACAGCCTACAGTCATTGGCCTCTGCCTAAACTGTACCAACTTCACCTATAAAACCACAACCCAATGAAAACTCAACACAAAGGAAATAAAACAAAGCCCCAAGATAGCTGTTTTCATTGCATGAAACAGGGTCAACTAAATGTGTCTTTATTTTTTAAAGCTTATTATAGATATATCTGAAATTTTAATTTTTGGAAGTCAAAAGTTATCATTAAAAGATTTAGGATGCAGTGTGTCATAAAAATTTTATGTGACATATAAGCCCAGTACTTCTTTCCTTGCTCTACTTTATTTAGTTATAATTAGGCACACGATAGCATGACTTTACAGAGTTGTGAATCTATATAATATACAAGATGCCGTGAGCATATTAAATCCATTCTTCCCATTAAGTCTTCCTATATATAAACCAAATACAACATTTATTCTCTGAGAAATTAAAACTATAAACTTCAAATACATGTAAAAATTTTAAATGAAGAAGGGGCAGCAGTGTATAAAATAAAATGCAAGATTAAGATTAAAAAAAATGTTACTTAACATTATAAAAAATGTTTGCACTGACAATGATATGTTTGAGAAGAGATCGATGGATAAAACTAGTCCATATGATGAATGTAATAAATACACTTTTACCTGCAAGGATTTTTCTGGCTTTAATTTAATTAAATCCATTCTCCTGGGTAGTAATGGAGTCCTGTACCCTACTCATCTCAGGCATCTTCAGTCTCCTGAGCTGCCTTAAAGCCTTGACATAATAAAAGGTCAAGCAGATCCTAGTAAGCATTTGTAAACTACAACAGCCCCCCATTTCGGGCTCACTCTCTTGTTTCATTTCATTGTATAAGTAGGCTAATTTGGAAATAGCTAGGGTACTTGGGAACACCTAGATTTTCAAAAAAATCCCACTTTCCTACTTAACCACCTAAAGAAGTGACCCATAATACAACATTTGAGAGAACTGTAAAATGGTGCCTGGATACTGAAGGAATGAAGACCAAATAGCAAGCAGCACTATCAAATAAAATGAACGCATTTCACCTTCCAGCTCATGTGTGCTTCCTGGGACACAAGGCACAAACATGAAAGGGATGGAGCAGAATTTCGAGAAAACTGATTTGTTTCAACATTGACTTGGCAAGATGCTGAACACAAAATAACACCTCAAGGCACCTCCCTTTCCCATCATTGTAAATTCAGGGCTCTCAAGTCACCACCCCCCCACCCCGGCAAAACCAATTAAAAATAAAGAAAAGAGGCAGGCTATGAATTTGCATCTGGTACTAAGATACAGATTAAATGATAGGCATCTGTCCTAATTGGTCACAATGAAACTAAGGGACAATAACAAGAATAAATCTCACATTAATCCAAATGAAGCCAATGAATAATACAAACCAGAAGCACCGTTTCAAAAATATGCAATTACCTCCGAGCATGCAAGGGCATTTATAACCCATAAATATGATTGCAGAGCACAGTATGCATATAAATATATTTAATAAATGCACTACTTATGCTAAGAAACATGTGTATATATGATATGCATATCCATAGGATATACATTTGTATGTTTACAATCACATCTACCTACTAAAAATCAAACTCCATCCAGCAAATGGTTTCTCAACAAGAGTACATTAGAATATGAAATAGAATGCTAAATTCTGAGGCCACCTTTTCTTAGCGATAAAGGAAATAAGCAAAATCACCTCATAATTAGGCCGGGAAGCTTAAGAGGCACCAAATGGGTTTCTGAGGAAGGCCCAACCCTGTATGTGAGAGCTGCAAATTAAACGAGTCCTTTCAATAACACCCATTTCTTGTTAGCTCTTTTTCCACCCCCTGATTCTGCTAAGCTTGGAAGGAAAGGAACCAAGTGGCTCAGTCTGCATTCTGAGCCAGTTCAAGATAAAATCAGAACACCATTTTTTCTTTTTTAAACACCGCGGATGTTTTCTTACTTCTCTCTTCCTGGCAACCTTCCTCTCTCTCCATCCCCATCTCTGTCTCCACATCTTCCTCTCCTACTCCGAGGGAGTCATTGTTCAAGTGCTGGCCACAAATGTACACTCAGGTCCTTTAACCGGCAGCTAAACCAAGAAGATAGCCCCACAGTCTCCTACTCACCATGCTGAGACCCGGAGAAGCTGCTGAAAGGAGGGAAAGATGCAAACTGAATCCATTTTCCTTGTGACCGAGTCGGATGCAGCCTCCGAACCCAACATCGGCAGCTGCTCTTGGGATTTTGTTCCCTCGCTCTCTGGTTGGCGATGGTGCGAACAGGAACCACCCTTCCAGCCTCACTAGAGCATCAGCAGTCGAGGCGGCGGGAGCAGCGGCATCACCACCTGCCTCCTCCCTCTTGGAGGATGGGGTGAGCTCAGAAGCAGCCAGGAACTTGCAGCAGACACCTCCTCTGGCTCCTCCTCTCCTGCCCCCTCCCCCAAAGCCCCACCCCTGCTGCGGTAGAGGCTGCCGGTCCCGGCCGCTGCTGGTTGTCATGGCAACGACCAATGGTGAGCCACCAGACTAAGGGGGAGGGGAGATGGGTGAAATGAGCTGCAGGGGCTGGAGGGGAGTGAATTTTGTGCTGCTGCCCTCTGGGATGCTTTTGGTCTCTCCTACCGGGACTCTGGGTCTTTAAAAATGGGGCAAAGGTGCATAGGCACAGGAAGAGAATCATTTAAATGTAGTCCAAATCAAGACTGAAACATACAAAATAACTTAGCTATTTGTTGCACTTACTATGGTTTTCCAACAAAACCTATTAAAATTTGCCATCAGAAAAAAATAATAACAAATGGGGAAAATCATATCGTGTACTGGGAGATTATAATTACTCCAAACATGTTTGTCCTTGATGGTATCTTTTATTCAATGTCACTCAAGACTGTTAAAAAGCAAAGTAAGTGGCTGGACTTTACACTAAAGTAAGAGTCTGATTCCTTAGCACTACCCTCTGCTTGTTCTTCTCAAGTGAGTCACTTGGTCTCACTGTTTTTCCAGTTTATCCCTGAACAGGACTTGGAGGTATATGGCACTCCCCTGTGGACAAGGAAGTTGGAACAGAGGGAACAGAAATTTCTTGAGCAACCACATGGTTCTCAGGAACACCAACTGGTTGGTGGATAGTTCCAAACCTTTGGAATGTCAAACTCCTGGAGTGTTGTTTCCTGCAGAAAATTCTAGGCCATTTTCATGGACGCCATTTTCATGGATGCCTTGGAGTTCCCAAGCTGGTAGTCAGGATGGTAGGTAGAAAAAAGAAAGTGAAATCAGCAGTGTTCTGAGTTCTTTGTGAGTTCTGTTTAGTTCTGTTTCTAACTATAAATTATAGATGACACTAGTATTTATCTCATGCAGTAGTTGTAAAGAGTAAATGAAATAATGCATTAATAGCCCTTGGCACGCAGTAAGTGTGTAAATAAATGTTTACTAGTAGTAGTAGTAGTAGTAGTATACTGTAACTGCCTCTTAATTCAACGGCTCAAGGGAATAGCATGGCAAATTCAGACAAGGCGAGAAAACAATACATGATAGATGTGTTGGTGATGTTGATGGCAAAGACAGAGAGATCCTGAAAGAAGAAAAATTCTCTAAAATGTGACAGTCGAGGATATTCTAAGTCTTAAAGGACTTAGATAAATTTCCCAAATTCACACAGCTAATTAATGATATGGCCACAATGAAAACTCTGACCCTTCTAATACTAACATTTGCTCCCCCCCTAATGATCATAGTTTTCTGCCACTACTCCATGGAATGGAGATACCCTTTGTTCTTAACCTATAGGGTTATTTATAAGTTCAAATAGGATTAAGGTAATTTTCAGAGTCAGACAGCCTGGGATCCATTTCTGGTGCCAATATTTACTATAGATATGACTTGACACACAATAATTAACTTCCCTGAACCGATGTTTTTGGAAATAATCATAGAACCTCATGGAGTCATCATGAGAACTGAACAGAATGATGTATGTAGAGCATTAACACAGTGTCTAGCACATAGTAACTGTTCAATAAATGGTAGCTATGATTATTTGTTACTCGTTCTTAAGTAACTAATATTAAAATGTAAGATTTTTTTTCCTAGATGGGGTCACTCTTGATGCCAGGGCCTTATTCTAACAAAACTAACTTGAAGATAATTAGGTGGTCAAGGAAAGGGCTGCAGTCATCCTTGGCCTTACCTCTTGGTCCTCTCCCAAGGGAAGCCTGCATCCTACTCTGTGCAGCTGGTGGCTCCTGCCTCCCCTCAGAGACTGAGCCACTACGCAGTCTGCACATACTTCCACACGAGCATCACGTAAGTGTAGTCATGCAACAGAAAGGAATGGGTTGTTTTGCTTTTTTGTGTGTGTTCTTCTCTGTATTTCACCTTCTGTTGTCTCCACAGAGATGGTCCTGTAAGTAAGCAGAAAGGAAAGCTGCAGGTTGTAGAAGCTCAGGCATGTCTGAGTGACACAACCCTCCCCACCAGCCTTGTGAGGGAGCATTTCATCTTTCACGCCAAGAGCTGACTTGGTTGGGGTGAGCCATTCCAGTTTTCTCTCCTCCCATTAACAAAGGCAGAATCAACTGGGGGAGAAAACAGTGTTTGGTGTTCAAACAATTTAGTCATTCAAATGCTCTCCCACCTTTTACCATATCCATGAAGCACTGTATTTATTATTTTATAATAGTATTTTTAAAATACTTAATTATTTACTATTTTATCTACTTTATTTGTTATTTTAAAATGAAATTTATCTCTGCCTTCAGTAGAATATAAATAAAAATAAGCATGGTAAAGAGAGTGTCCTCAGAGAAAGGAACTTAAAGTAAAATCATACATTTTGGGGGGCTGAAAAAGACACTAACTTTTTTTGTAATATTTTTTTATAATTTTAAAATCTCATTCCTTCTCTCCATTGCCATCTCCTCTCTAATCATGCTCTATTTTTCCATGGTATTTGTCATCTTCTATTATACTATATTATTTATTTGTGCTTCTACATATTTTGTTATCTGTTTCTCTCCACTAGAATGTAAGCTACGAAAGGGCAGGGATTTTTGTTTGCTTATGTTTTTGAATAGTCCCTGACCTTTATTAGGTGCTCCATAAATATTTGTTGAATGAATAAACCAGTAAATAAATAAAATACCAACAACTTCTGCATTGAATCATGGCTATATAAGCTATTGTTAGAATATTATTTGTCCAGTTACATATTTTTGATATTTCTCAAAATTAAAACTAAGATAATTACACAAATTATCTTATTAGCAAAATGCATATTAGCATAATGTCTATCTGATACATATTTTAAATATACATAGTTATGAAAATGGAAGCGTTTGCTCATGCATATTCAAAGTCATCTAGCATATCGCCGGTAGTATGCATGGTGTTGAGAAATACTGATTTTGTTCTAAGAATGTCTTCTCCAGTAGTACTAACAGTGAGCAGACTGTCTACCTCTCCTGGGACCTTTCCAATTTTGACTTCTGGATTCTATGAGATGTCTGAAAAAGTACAGGGTGTGGGTCTTGGCTCCAAAAGTGGCATTAAATTTTCAGGAGAAACCACAGCATAATGGGAGGAAGCTGCAAAGTGTAGGCTCTGAAGACAGACTTTTTGGAATGAGTTCATGCTTCACCATTTGTTTTCTGAATGACCTTGGGCAAGCTGCTTAATTTCTGTATGCCTCAGTTCCTTCATTATATGACATGTTAGGAGTACCTACTTCATTGGGTTGTTCTGAAGATCCAAGTTATTGTTGCAAAAACTAACAAGTACCTGGCATATAATAAACAATAGATAATATGTAGCTCACACCATTACAAATATCATTTTAAATAACTATGGTTATGCATAGCATATTATTCTGGATGTTTCCAAAACACTCAGATCACTCAAGGTTATTCTAAGAACTTGTTATGACTGCAGACCTGCTTTCAGCAGACCATGAGGATTTCTACAGATGTTTATCTCAGAGATAGGCCAATGTCTTGATTTCCCCAAAAAGGGGACAAAAAGGGAGAAGTCACAGTCAGAAGTGAATGTTTATTCTTTGTCTACTCTGTAAGAGGTTATTAACATATTATGTATTTACAGAGAACATTAAATGTAAGCTGTCAGGATCTTTCTGAGTTCGTTAAGAAAAAAACACATCATTTGGACCTCACTGCATATCCTTTATCAATACTACCAGTAATGGGGCACCTGGCTAGCTCAGTCGGTAGAGCATATGACTCTTGATCTTGGGGTTGTAAGTCTGGGTGTAGAGATTACTTAAAAGAAAATAAAATCTTAAAAAAAATACTACCAGTAAGCAAAAATATTAGAACCCTCCCATGAACTCCATACTCCCAAAGCCAACATCTTATGAATTACTGCCTGCATAGTAGGTGGACACATCGGCCTTTACTCACCCTGTTCCCTGCCCCAATTCTTCAATCTTAATGATTTCTCCATCACCTCCTTTGGGTAGTCTTCAACAACGATACCAGGATTAGGATTAGAAGTGACGTTCCCATTGTCCCCTGTCACATCTTTATTGCTGCCCTCATGATGTTGAATGGCAAATAGTTTTATCTTTGTCTTTCTTTCCTATTTGACTGTAAGCACTTTGAGGTCAGGAATATACTGTTCATTCATTCATTTATTGCTATGCCAACCTAACAAATATTTATTGCTAGCTGCTACTGTGTGCTGTCCTAGGTGCTACAGATACAGCTGTGACTAAGACAACATGAACACGCTCTCCATGGAGCTAATAATCTAAAAGGAATGACAGACTACGTAATTAAACGTAATTAAATTATGTTGAGGGTTAAACAGAGAACCATCAGAAGTTCTGATAGCATATAAAGAGAAGATATAACTGAGCCCAAGGAAGATATTACCGGAGGGATAATAGAGTAGGGCAGGGGCAGTTGGTTTTGGAAGAAGGGAAAGAAATGTACTCAGGTGCTGAAATGTGCAAGAACTTGCAAGTTACTCACGTTTTATTTAATGTTGGTACCTAGCACAGTATCTGTGCATATTATGGGCACTTAGGTGTTTGTTGAAAGAATTTGCCTCCTTCCCCCCCAACCGCTCACACACATAAGCACACAACTTCTTTCCATCATGTTTTTTTTCTGTTAATTTATTTGAAGAGTTAGAGTTTGTCAATAGCTAAGGAGCTGACAGGCTGTGTGCAATGAGAAGGAATGATGGGAGGCCAAAAGATTAACTGTTTCTACTGTAGAAAAAGAGGTGTAATGCTAACAGTGACCACTGTTCCAGTACAGATTTATTGAGTAAGATTTACATGATAATACAAACTTTTGCTCTGATATTGAAACGTGAGATAGTTTTTCCCTTTCAGGTCCAGGGCAGTTGTATATTACCCAGTGGCAGACAACACATGGACTTAGGTTACCAGCAAATCAGGGACACCAAAGAAATGAGAAAAGTTCCATTTCAGTGGCCTTTTCCAAGATTTTGCAATCAGAAAATCTACAAATAAGTTG